CTCCCGAGACTACACAGTACAGTGCCCCCAAAACTAAGCATCACATATGCTAGAAAAGGAAAAAGGTACATTTCCTTGAACTTGTTTTTCTCCAACACACACCCCATCATTCATATACACATCGATAGGTATGTATATAAGCAAGAAATATACACACACCCTTTCGGTATAAGTACAAATAAATCTAAACAGAATCTGCTGGACTGCAGAATGGGGAAGAGGAATACAGAAAAACACTTTGATATGATTCCAATAATCACAACATAAGGAACTGCAGAAAACAGGATACGTCTCGGCCACTTGTCTCTACGTATATTAATCTGGATTTTATTCAACTATGGCAAGACTTAGCTCCTACGCAATCTGTACTCTGAGGAAGAATTACAGTCCATCAGCTACTCCAAACCTCGGCAGAAACTCTACATGCTCTTCATGGTGCCTACTGTGTGGTGGTATAACAACAGGCCTTTGCTTATAGACCAGAGCACTGCTCGCGACTCTCAGAGAAGACCTGAGAATCAGAACATTTCTAAATTCCTACATTTCTTAGTTCCAATAACAGGATAGGTCTAATTTCTGATGTCAAAAGAACCCCAATCAAAACCCAAGCAAACAAAAAATCAGGGCTTACTTTTACAACAGACTGAATGTGTGAACTGAGCTCAAGTAGCTATGTATATTTTGGTAAGATTAAGCCACATATACTTCTAGAAGTCTCAGCAAATATTTGACTAAGGAGGGAAGACAGATTAGCGCAGCAACAGTGAGATCCAATACCTGGGTTTTGTGTGTACTTGTTTTCAGGTTTGCTAGCATTGTTCTTAGCTGTAAATATTAGATGAGTTATTAAAAGGTGTTCATAGCCTTCAGAAAGAAATATTATCATATTTATTATACAGTGTTAACCTATGAATATCTACCTCCTGGCTTGCTATGACCTTTTATAAAGATCTTAAAGATGTTTGAATAAGACTTGACAAAACTTGTTCCTCACCCTCCTCCAGTGTTACATACTAAAATCCTAATGCAGCACTTTGGCAGGTCAGACTGCTGGATTCAAAGCTCACGGCGCCTGGGACGTCCTCGGTGTCCAAGGCAGGCAGTGTGATGTAGCCAAGGAATGCCTCGGCATAAATGGGTGTCAGATCTGCTACAACACCTGCGTGCTCTACAGGAATACAGCTGAGATGAGGGAGTGAGACTGGGAGAAAAGCAGACCTGGCAGGGAGAGTAGGGACTGACTTTTCAAGCTGTTGTTTAAGAGGAAAAGACTCATTTTACATATGCAAAATGAACTGTATAAAAGATCTGTTAAGATTTGGACACCAAGAAGAAATTTCAGAGGCAAGCAGTAAAGACGAAGAGTAGCTACAAGTCTTTTAAAATAATTGCTCGTTTAGGATGGATGCCTACTTTTCCTCAAATACAAGATTTAGAGGAGCAAATGTGAATGTGTTCCTTACATGCTTGAGTACGTGCGTGTTCCCCAATCTGTTTGCCCTGCCCACCTACCGAGACTGGCATGCTTACTTCCAAGAAGGCTTTTCCCACACTAATCACCATGGAAACCAGCGAAGCCTTCTGTTGCAAAGCCTTAAACAAACAACAAGGCTAATAATAAAAATAAAATTAGCGAATGCCTAGAAACAACGGGTCAAATACTAAAACATCCCAATTCAAACAAAGCAAGAAACAGGATGGGGAAAAATGCATTTATGCAGGGAAAGGCTGTGAAGACAGCAGCCTCCGTTACTCTGGGGTACAGGTGAAGGTGTTCGTGGGCGGCGGGATGTACCCACCGAGCGTTTCCGTGGAAAATCAGATGCGCGCCCGAGCCTGCGCGTGCAGCGACAGGGCTGGTCCGGCACCAGCCCAGATGACTGGCTCGGGTGATTTGGAAAAAGAAACAACCCCAGCAGAAAGAACGAAACTGATGATTAGCAGGGAGGGTTGGGCGGCCTCCCCTCAGCGCT